GGCAGAAAAGCCTGACATTTTCTTTACCCTACAGATATACAGGACACAGATACCTGACAGCGCCCTTGGGTATATGCAGCAGCAGACCCTTCGCATGGGGTAAACAAACCACAAACATAAGGCAGTGAGAAAGACAACGCAATGCAAGAACTTTGGTCTTGCTCAGCTGTTGCTGGTTAATGGGTTCTCGCCGTGAAGTAGAATAAGGCTCACCTGAGATCCCATCCCGCCTCCACCTTTCTTTGGAGAAAATTCCAGGTTCTTTCAGGGCAGGCGCCAGGCCGGGCTCCGCACACGTGGAGCTCCACTCGCCCGTGCACAGTGAGCACCCGGAGCGAGCGCCATCAGCGACCCAACCAAAGCGCCTCCCTTTGCCATGGTAGATTTCGACCCAAAAGGGTTTAAGACGCGGACAGACCGTGCACAGTGGTGTTCACTCGCTGCCTGGAACAAAAAAGCTCAGCTGGACTACAGGATGTGTTCCCGCCGGCGCCCTGCCCTGGGGCACTGTGGTCTGTTGCTTGCAGAAGCCTGACCAGCGGGCCTAGCCTCCGGGAACTATGCCGCTGTCATTTTGCACAAGCCCGAGGCCTGGGAGATCTGAGTAAAGCTGCCCTCCAGCTCCACGAAGCTCATTTCCTCCGCCAGCAGAGCTGGGGTTGGCGGGTGCACTGAGGTGGCCTTAGACACGCCCACCCTGTGGGCTGGACTTGTCTATCAAAATCAAAATCAACAAGCAACTATAAACCAGAGACACAGGGGGGGAAGAGGGATGAGGGATTAGGGTCAAAATAAGGGGGGGTGGGAATTGTATGGGGAATATAACCAAGATGAAAATGCATACATTGTGCAAAAATGAAAAATGATGTAAAAATATATAAAATTAAAAAAAAAAAAGTACAAGGCCAGGAGGAACTGTTGGCCACGTGTGCGGGGTGTAGCCGCGAGCCCTGCTGAGCAGTCTTTGGGAGGAGCAGCAAATTGGCGGACCCCCCAGTCCCCCCCGCAGAGATGTCCCTACACAAGCAAAGTGGGTCTTACTGCTCCTCGCGGGACCAGTCACTCGCGCAGTGAATCTTGCTGCCTCTCGGAAAGAGGCCTGCATGATGAGCAACTGGCGTATCTCTGCGAACTGCAGTGAACTTGAGTCCTCCATCTCAGACCTTCTTACCCATGCCTGCTTCCTTTCTTCCCTCACCCAAGCTACCAAGGCATTCGCTACCAAATAAAACATGAACCTAGCATAAACTATGGACTTTGGGTGATTATGATGTGTTAACCTATCGTTACAATGATTGTAACAAATGTATGCCACTCTAGTGTGAGATTTTGATAGTGGAAGAGACTGTACTATGGGGCAGCTGAGCTGGGGGGTTATGGACCTATGGACCTCCTGCCCAATTTTACTGTGAACCTAACATGTTCTAGAAAATAAAGTAGATTTTTTTAAGTAAATGGGATATAAAGTAGATAGTGAACATATATAGATTATAATAAATTGGGGTATTAGAAGTTAGAAATCTCTCAACTGATCTATATGAAACTTGAATATACATAAACTCTAGAGGGAAACAAAAACTAATTTCAAGAATTATCTGTAAGAGATTGTTGAGAGGAAGGTGAGGATCTAAGGCAAGGGATTGGGAAGGGAGATTTTCACTGTAAATCTTTTTCATACTTTTTGATTTCTGTACTTGTGAGTGCATTAACTGCTCAAAATTTTTAAATAAGCATCTACTGTATGCCAGATATATTTCTTGATGTCTGAAGGAAAGCTAGGAATCAAGGAACCAAAACAGAGAATCTTGTAGGGTCTGAAATTATGGCTTGAAAATCCTAGATAGCTTTGAAAGCTGATGAGACTGGCCTCAAATGTCAAGAGTCTAGTGGGAAAAAAATATACCCAAGAATTAGCACAGTTGCTGTAGTCCCAGGGAGCTGGGGGCGGGGGGGTGCGGGGAGGAAACAAAGGCAGAAAGAGCAGGAGGGCAAGATACAATGAATCAGAAATACTGAAATACAGCTATGAAAAGCTATCCACTAAGATTTAGCTAATACACTAGAAGTTAGGAAAGCATTTCTGTTCATAACCCAAGCAACCAAGTTTATCAGACTCTGAAAATATGCAAATCACTTTCAGGATGAATAACCTGAATTTTTTTCATTAACCAATCCATACTGATGAGATTGAAATCAGATCCTGATTATGAAGATTAGTAAATCAATTAAAATGTCCTCAAGTCACTGGATTTTGATACACTTCTGTGACCTGTTGTCTCTTATTTATGTCTTCACTGCAGCTGACTTTCACACTTATCCCATTCACTAAACAGAAGTAGCTCAAGAATGCCTCTCACTGAACTCCAAAGGGTTTCCATGATGAAAATCTTGCTTATTAATATTGCCATTTTAATGAAACAATGGAATTACCAAATCCAGCACAAATCCACCAACCTAATAAATAATAATAAAAATTCCAGCTACCCTCTCCCCACCAAATTTATACTAAGAGATGACCCAGTACAATATCCTTGATAATATATAAGCAGGCATTCCATGTAAAAGTCATATCTAAGGAAAATTAAATATTAACTTCAAACAAAGCAATCTGCAGTCCTCGCTGCCAAATACCAATAATTATTGGAGTTCTTCATCAAAAAAAAAACAGTCTGGGTGACTAATTTTAGATATGGAGATATGGTAGGTCTATTTTGGGCTGAACATATTTACTCACATATTTTTCTCTCTCGTTATCCCTTACCAATCCTCTGAGGGAAAAAAGATTTTTTCTGCCTAATTTCCCTCTAATGAATTGTAGTGACATTAAACTTGCAAAAAAGAAAAACTCGAATTGAGGCCTAAATGTGGGACTATACCATGCTACAGTTTATATAATTAACTGTACCACTTGTTTTCTTTACTGTTTTTGTTGTTTGGAGAAAAAAAAAAGATGCATCTCTATCTGACAGAATTCATATTATTAATGTTTCTCCTTTTTTTTTTTTAAGAGGCATCATGTAGCAACAGTTCTGTTAGTGTTTCTGGCATAATTTAAGTCAAAGACACAGGGATATTTCTATGTAAAGTCTGAGTTGAATGAGGCAATGGGGAAAGCCAGACTGACACTAAGAACTTTCTTGACTTCTACTTGGAAAAATTCTATTTGCACATCTGAAGAAATAAAAATTGAATCTTAACCACCTAGCTAACTCACTGGGAGTGACTAGGGGAGATAAATACCCTTAATGCCTCTACCCAGTATGATTCTATTACATTCCACTGTTTATGTTTCCTTTGGAGCCCTAACTAGACAGAGATTGTTTGTGCCCAAAGCTGTGTAGCCAGCCTACCTGGAAGAAAATATTGTTCCAATATTACCAGTGTGTCTACTTCTAGGGACAATGTTATCACATAACACCTACCTCCTCATTGGTAAATTTTTAAAATATAGGTGTGAGCTTTGTAGACAGATGCCATGCCCACATACATACTTGGCTTTACTTCAGTATCCAGACAAGTGTCACAAATCCTGTATATCAGGTTATAAGCCCCAAAACAGAGATTTGATCACTCTGTATTTCCAGGTCTTATTTCAATACCTGACACAAATTACTCATGAAATTTTCAGTGAATGAATGAGTGAATGTGTTTCTAACAAGTAGGAATCTTGGGCAACAGACTCTGGTACACAAGATATATCTCATTTCTTCATAGTCACCAGTTAATTTTAACTCTCAACTTTAATTCTGACTGACTGGGGTGGAATTCTGCCTCAATCCTATTTGTTGCGCTCACTTACCTAGAGTTCTCCAGTTCTCTATTATGTCAATCTGCAGAAAGTGTTCACAGTAGACAGGGACTGAGTCAGTCCTCAAGTTTTTAATCATTCTTGTGCAAAAGGTACAGCTCAGCTGTACACAGCTCCTGTCACCTCGGTTTCATAGGAGTTAACGTGGGACCACAGTCTCAACATCCATTCCCCTGGTCTCATTCCCAAGTAGGGCAATGCATTCTTTCCCTTTAAGATCTTGCTGTCTCTCAAGAGTCTCAGAGACCTCTCTTCTCTCCCCAAATCTCAAACTTCATTTGCTTCAGTCCACTTTTCCTTGTGGTGTTTGGCTACACCTTCTAAGAGATCCTTTCTTTTCCATTATCTTTTTTTGGACACAGCTGCAAAGGGCAATGAGACTCTGGTCTCTTCAGCAGATAAGCACGAGTTATTCTTTTTTTTTAATTTTTATTTATTTTTTTAAATAAATTTTATTGTTATATTCCCCATACAATTGCAACCCCCTTATTTTGACCCCAATTCCTCCCCTCCCCACCCCCCACCCTCCAGAGAGTGTCTCTGGTTCATAGTTGTTTGTTGATTTTGATTTTCACTTTCTTATAGTTATTCATTTTCCTGGTCCCTTATTTAAGTTTTCTAGATTCCTGCTATGAGTGAGACCATCCGGTATTTTTCTTTTTCTTTCTGGCTTATTTCGCTGAGCATGATCCCTTCCAGTGCCATCCATGTTGCTGCGAATTGCATGTGTTTATCTTTTTTGAATGCTGAGTAATATTCCATTGTGTATATGTACCACATCTTCTTGATCCAGTCATCTATTTTTGGGCATTTGGGTTGTTTCCAAAGCTTAGCTATTGTAAACAGTGCTAAGCACGAGTTATTCTAACCTACAAAGTAGAGGGAGAGAGAGCTAGCAGGGAGAAGATCCAGTTGCAATTGGTGGTGTAGTTGCAGCTATAGGAGCCAGCAGGGTGCAGCAGAGGATTGCAGCTGCCAAGGTGGTGCGCGCTTGCACGTGTGTGTGTGTGTGTGTGTGTGTGTGTGTGTGTGTGTGTGTGTAGGCCCACAACCCAGCAAGGGGGGGCCAGGGGATGGGTGGAGGCGGGGAAGGATAACTGCCTTTCACAGCACCTCCAAAGACAAAGAGAGCAACTGCACATGAATCACTCCCTTTTATTTTTTTAAGATTTATTTTTATTTATTTATGCATACAAGAACTGAGGTGTAGGCCAGAGGTGCCTGGGGTGAGAGGATTCACCAGAGGCAGTGTGATCTCACAGAGGCGGATCTATTGATATACACTGCTGAGGGAAGCAGCGGGCGAATCAGGAGAGGTCTGCTGTGCCATGTGAGTAGCTCCCTGGCTAGGGATGAAACTTATGCAGCAGTGGCTGGTGGTAGCTTGATAGTGGTGAGACTTTAACTCCTGCGCCACTAGGGAGGCCCGGATCACTCCCTTTTAAAGGTTCACAAAATGGCTGCTCAGTTCCACCCTCTTTCCAGCAGCCCCCTCACTCAGGCAGGACATAAGGTCAGAATTCAGATCAAGGCACTGCACAGGTATAGTCCATTCTGGCTTGGGTGGTATCCAGTCAATCAGGGAAAGTTCAGCTTCTTATCTGCACTGGGCCGCTCCAGGAGCATGTGATAGGATTAATGGGCCTTAGCTATATGAACTATTATATCTCCCATGCTATTTAGTGGACCCTTTAGCCTAATGAAATGTCATCCAGGATCTCATGTCAGTAATTAAATGTTTTTGCTCTCAGAGAGTGATGTCAAATGAAGGATGCTCCCAGTGTTTCCTGTAGGCAGAAAAACTAAGTCAATACCAAGACTGTATGTCAATTTCAGTCAAGAAGAATTGTTAAAATGAATCCAATGTGATTAACTTGCTACCAAGTGACATATTGGGGACTCAGGGATTGGTCTCAGCAGCATTTGTTAGCAACAGTAGCTAGGGCAGTCTTAGGGCATAATAACCTGCTCCACTGGGCCAGTATGTGGGCTCTGTCCTCACTACTCATACTGCTCATGCACTAACAAACCAGCACTGGCAGGACTGATGGCAGAGACTGACATGAACTGGCCCAGTCTCTGTCTTGTCCATTTAGGGAGAACACAGTCCACTTACCTGTGGGGAGATTAGTTTTTAACAGGGCCACTTCCACAGGGAAGGTGGGGATTTAAGATTATCTTGTGCATCAAACCATAGGTCTCCATCCTCCATCTCAGAATCCCACTAATTCTGATCAGAGTCCCGACTTTGGTAGAACACACTTTTGGTTGAGGATGTAATTTTCTGGAAGTCTGTCACTCTTGTCACCCTCAGCTTTCTGGGGGTCTATTGTTGCAGGAAATGAGTCTCTTTTATGCTATTAGGGTGACCCTCTGGCTTTAATACTTGTCTTTAATTAATAATTACTCTTACATTGTCTTTCTACAGAGCTTTCAGTCTCCTCAGCAAAAGTCATCCAATTTCATAGTTTTTTTAGTTATAGTGTCCGCTATTATTCTGCCATGAGTGATTCTACAGGTATTATCACATTAGAAGTTTTAAAAATTGTACTTCCACAGCATGCCATGGAATATCCACTATTTCTACCACCATTGATGGGGCTCTCGTTGCAGTCTGACCTGTGGGTGTTAAATTTCCAAAGTCCTCTCTCAGAGTCTGCTCACTCAGACACCCCGGTACTAACTGTTGTTGGTTGGATTCACTGTGAGCCAAATTTGGATACAGAGCTCTGCCTTTAGGAGCTGTATTTGGACACTGCTCTTAGAATCAGCCTCTGAGGGACAACAAAAAAACAAAGCTGTGCAGAGAGAAAAGTTGGACTGTGAGTCTGTTATAACAAAGGCCATGCCATCCCATCAGGAACTCTAGAGTTGGGATGGTCTCCCAGAGTCACCCAAGTGGGAACAATGAGACTAGAACTTTATACCTTTGGGTCACTGAAAACTGCCTCCAGGAAGGGAGCATCACCTTGCACTAAGCAGCTTTTTTTAAAAAAAAAAGATTTATTTATTTATACAAGCACTGGGTACAGTCAGAAGCGTGGGAGAGTGAGAGAATTCACCAGAGCCAGAGCGGGGAACAGAACAGGCAGATTTGAAGAAATTATTGCTGAGGGGACTAGTGGGCGCAGCAGGAGAGGTCTGTCACGCCATGTGCGGCCCTCGCTGGCGGCCGGGGATCGAACCGGCGCTGCAGAGGCTGCGGGCAGCTTCACAGTCCAGCACTCAACCACTGCGCCACCAGGGGAGGCCCTAAGCAGCTCTCTTTTGCCAAGGAAATTTTGCAGAGATTCAGCCATGAGCAGTCAGTCCATCAGCTGTCTATGCTTCCAAGGATTGGAGCAATGAGTTCCTCCACGTAAGAAAGGGAATCTGGGCTACATGCCATATCATCCCATATCATCCCAGAGCAGGGAAAGTCAAATAGATTCAATCTTTGGTTTACATACCTGCAATTGCCCATATTTTATTCCTTAGCTCCACTCAGCTTTGCTCAGATCCATTGTATGTGGAAGGCACCAGGAACATAACTATGAAAACGATTTCTATATTCAAAATGCCAATTACCTCCTCTCTGTCTCTGTATCTCCTCTAAGAGAATGTTCTACTTCTCCTTCTCTAAGAATCAACTCCCATAGTCCCTCTTTGTGTTCTGCCATGGCATCTGAGCTGATTGACCCAATGTTGCTAACAGGACCCAAGCCGCACTGATTCGATTTTCTCTTCAGGGAATTTAGAGCTGGAACACATGGACCCAAATCAGTCTTTGTAAATTTTGTTTTACTAGAAATCCCATAGAAAGCCATGGCTGCAGCAGAAATAACTGGCTTCCAGGCACTTAGAAATGGGGGGGCAGGGGAAGTGAAAAACCAGCATTAAGTAAACTGCAAAAAGGAATATGAAAGGAAACATGAATAACCTGTGCCCAGATGATTCTGTGATTAATAGAAAATCCCAACTCAACCTTTCTTAACAGTGAGAAAATGCATTACCATATGTCTTAGTCTGCTAAAGCTACCATAACAAAATACCACAAACTGGGTGGCTAAAACAACATAGATATTTTTTTCATAAGTCTAATGGCTAAAAGTCCAAAATTGAGGTGTCAACAGATCTGATTCCTCAGGAGGCCTCTCTCTTTGGCATGCAGATGGCCATCTTCTTTCTCTGTCCTCAGGCAACTTTTTCTCCATTGACATGTACTGTACCCCTGGTGTCATATGGGATTAGGGCTCACCTTATGACCTCATTTAACTTAATTACCTCTTTAAAGCCCCTGTCTCCAAAGTCAGTCACAGTCTAAAGAATTGGGGGTTAGGACTTCAGAATATGAATGGGTGGAAACAATACCTTATATGACAGGAAATTCATATATGACAGGAAGTTCATAATACCTTATATGACAGGAAATTCTCTTAAGGTAGGCCCCAGATACAATGCAGTGACATAATCAGATGTCAGGTGTCGGCTCTGCTCCTCTTGCGTTAAGGATCAGCCTAAGGCCACTTGCCTTGTAGTCGAAAGGTAACTGCCAATGACAATTAGGATTTCTTTTTTAAAACTAGCAACAGAAAAGGATAACTTGTCCACCAATATGAACTCTATGTCCCTTCCTCCAATCTGTTTGGGCAAACCTAGACCACCATGCTTAGCCCTGGACAATTATGGCCAGAGGAATGTCATATGTCAGCTGGCTTGAACTAATGAAGTTGCACCCACAGAAGTGGAAATGTGGTTTTTTTCTCTGAAGTTAGAAGGAACAATGATGGTTATTGAGCACAATCCATTAAGAAGGGCAATGAGGGAACAATGTTGGGTAGTGAAGGGCAGAGAGGAAATGACCCCCACCCTTCTGTGTGCTTCCCAGCCTGGTGAAGCAATCAAATTAACATTAGAGATATTGCTAGGAGAAAAAGAACAAATTTAATTACATGCCTAGGGAGACTCTACATGGCTGTAAATTCTAGAGTAAACAGGGCAAACCAAGGATATATATCCTGAGCTAAGGAATGGGATAGGGGTCTGGGGTGTCAAGGAGAGAGAAGGGGGTCTCAGATGATGAAGAGAAGATAACGTTAAGGGGGAAAAAACAGATGCTCTGCAACTAAATGTTTGCAAATAAATGCTATACAGGCAGGTTTCTCTAATGGAAGGTTATTTCTGAGATGACTTTAATCTGGGTTATATCCCCAATCTTCATTCTTCTAGGTAGTGAAGAGAGTGGTATAATGGTTTCTTTTGATTCCATATCTCCTCAGTTGATCTTAGCTCAAAATAATCCACATGCCACCACATGTCAAAGGGATGTGTCTTGGAAGACCTGTTCTGGATACTATAGGGAGGCCTTTTCTTTCAGGAATGTGCTAATCCAAGCTGTATTCATGAGAAAGAATCCTCATTGAGGACAGGAGAGGGAGAGAGAATCCTGTGTTACAATCAGTACCTGCCAGTACTGCCTTTTCCCCCTCATCTCTCTCCACCTGCACATCTCAGCATAAATCAACATGGAAGGCAAGAAATCAAATTACACTTTAAACACCTGCTTTTTTCCCTGCCCCTCTACCTGCTAACTTGCCAAATGTCCAAAGAACAGGATCAAGGAAATACAAAGTAACCTTCTCACCCATCTACAGCAGAATTCAAGTTCAGCTTAAGTGCTTCCCCAAATTCATAACAAGTAACAGGACTCTGGGTTTTGGATCACCAGCCTCCGTCCTTCTGATGGTCAGTTCAGTTCTTTCTTTCTACTCAGTCAAACTCTTTCTCATCACTGGTTGTATGTAAACCAGACTCTTTTGGCAGCTTTTCTTCTGCCTTAAAAAGGCAGCTGTTCAACAGTTAGCGGTATGTTTACAATGAAAATATTATCATAGACAATTAGGTTCCCCATCTGAGATCACATGTCATTAGGTCTTTGAAATATTTTTCCTCTTTCTATCTCAATGAAAATCTCAATAATCCCTGAATTTGTATCTGTGTGAAGATCTCCCTGTCTTGCTGCCAGGTATTAGGTAAAGATTAACTTTTCAGGTTGCTTTTGAGTCAAGGAGGACTGACAGGGCTTTGTCTTTTCTGGCCATCTGTGGTGATAAAAGGTGCACTTTGTGCACTCGATGGGGTGTCAGTAGAAGAGCTGTTTTGTGGCAGTTGTAAATGATGTAAATACATCATTCTGCTGTGTGCTGGGAGCATGGGTGAGGGTCTGTGGACAACTGACATGGGTAGGAGTCTAGATGTGACTGGACACACAGGGTGGGTGGCAGCCAGATTTCTATTCCAGGAGCTCGTTTCTTTTAGCTTCCTCTGCCTGACATTCCCTGCCTGACATTCCCTGCCTGTTCCTTTTATTTCCAGGTGAGTAAGGCCAAAACTATGCTCTGCATCTCACAAGACCCCAAAGCAGACTTGACTATTTAGAAACAAATAGGAACAATGAAAGGAGAAGGGACTGTAGCCAGTGCTTCCTCCCTACTCTGACCTACATCTACCACAAATCAAGTCCCCATTATATTTTCTAACCACACTACACTCCTGACTATGGCTTGACTCACCCCGACTGGCCTCTAAATGCAAATGAATCTTCACTCAAAAATTTACTCTTAAAACCTCTCTACTCAACTGAAGGAAAAAGAAGCAAGAATATAGGAAAAGAAGAAAGTGAGAATACAGAGAAAATGTGAATGTGTGTGTGGGTTGGGGTAGGGGGTGTTTGAACTTACCATTTGGTTTTTGTTGTTATTAAATTGAAAATAAAATAAAAGTTTAAAGGGAAGAATTCCAAAAGGATTTCAGGATCAAGGAGGGAGGAAAGAGATTTTACATTTTTGGTTTTGGTTCTGTACCTTTCTGCACAGTAGTGAGCGAGAGCAAGAGGCAATCCCAGAGGAGGAAAGAAAGTGGTTGAATCCAAGGCCTCCAAAGAAAATCATTAGCTTTAAATTTAGCACCAGCAGTAATATCCACCACTAGACTAAAATAGTCATTGGGACCAAGTCTTCAGCAACTATTATCTACCAGATTATAATGTTATAAATCATGGCAACCCCTTCTTCTTTGTTACTGCTTGGTTTAGAAAGGGACAGAGCACCAAATTTTGGCCAGTGAGACATGAGGAAAGTTTGCATGGTAATTCTGGGGAATTTTTCCTTTGTCCTGGTCCCAGCTTGGAAACGAACTCAGTACCAGAACAGTAGAGAATAAGAATTAGCAGTCTGGTTCTCTGTTAAAATAACTAAGCCGGGCCTCCCTGGTCGCGCAGGCGGTTACGCACAGCATCGTGAAGCTGTCCGCAGCCTCTGCAGCATGGGTTCGATCCCGGTGAGAATCCCACATGGCGAGCAGACCTCTCCTGTCTCGCCTGCTGCTCCCCTCAGCAGTGTATTTCGTCAGTCTGCCTGTTCTGTTCCCCACTCTGTCTCTGGTGAATCCTCTTACCCTCCCACACATCAGGCCTGTACCCAGGTTCTTGTATAAAAATAAATAAAATCTTTAAAAAATAAATAAATAAACAAACAAATAAGTCATTGGGATAGCCTGTCTTTGGATTTACTGTTATGTAAGATAATAAAATTTCTTCTTATTTAAGACATCTGAAGTTATCCTAATATATATTTATTCCTTTCTCATAATCCTCTGGAACGCACCACACCCACTGCTTGCCCTGCTGCAGCCATAAAAGAGCTACCAACGGTGAGTTAGAGTTATAAGGCGACTCTTATTATGTCCCCCAAATGAAGCAGGGTTATATCGGGAATATAGTGTTGTGCATAAAAGCCAAATTCAGCTATAGTACAATAATGCAAGACTATATGTCAAGTACATTTTTTATTACTATTGTATGACACAGTTTCCACAGAAAATGGATTTTTAGTTTGAAACAACTGATATAGAGAATATAACACCTGGTCAATTTGAGACTTGACAGAAATCCTTAAATAAAGTATAACCTGACCCAATGTAACCGCAGATGTTTGGAGATTTTTGGAAATAAGAGGAACAGAAATTTGAGGCAGCACAAATTTGAATCCATGTCAGCCAGGCCGGGCTTATCTGGGTTGTGTGTGTGTGTGTATGTGTGTGTGTATGTGTGTTTAGAAAGGGAGGGAAGGCCAATCTCCCCCTACATGCCAATGCCATTACTCAGATAAAATGAGGTTAAAATCAACATTTAGAGTTGTCTTGAATGAGGAATTAAAATGTCACCAGAAAAACCACTTGTACTCTATTGAGATCCATCTCCTGGAACCTATGTGTTAAGAGATGTTTGTGTATAAATCTTAGATATATCTTTAGAACCAGGTTTTTTTAAAAAAAAAAATCTGTCCTTCTTTGGCCATACTGTCCCTACCCCAAGACAGTGGTGCTGTGGATAGGAGGAATGTGTAATCAGTTATCAGTGTACAAAGAGTAGACCAAATGAGAAATAACTAAATCTTCCCACAATCCTCAGGTCAAGGAATTCCACCCACAAACCCACGCTAGATTACTAGTCAGTGGAGATAAGCTTAAATTTCTCCCCCTCCCCGCCCTTACTCCAATAGAATCATAATCACTATCTTTAATTAAACACATGCCAGCCACGTTTCTTATATTTTCTCATTTACCTTTCACACCAACATTGCAACATAGGTGCTATTATGCTAATTTTAATTATACAGAAAGAGGAGCAATTTGGTTGACTAACAATCAAGATCACACAGCAAGTGTTAAAGTCAAGTTTGAAACATATCTGAATAATCTCATTCTATCCTTTACTAAGCAGGTGTGACCGGAGTTCTCAAGGCTACCCTTATATCAATGATTCACCAGAAGGACTCCTTAACTCAGAAAACTTATTATACCTGTGGTTACAATTTATTAGAGAAAGGATACAAATTAAACCAGCAAAGGTCAAAAGCATTGTGGTGGACTCCAGGGGCAACCAGGATCAAGCTTCTAGTTTTCCTTTCCCATTGGGGTCACATGGGCACCACTTACAGAGAGCTGCTTCTCTCAGCAACAATGTGTGACAGCATGTATAGAATATGGCCAAGCAGGGAAGTTCACCTAAACCTTAGCGTCCAAAGTTTCTTTAGTGTTTGAACTGGCACAGAGCGCCCAAGTGACCTATAGATGTCAAACTGACTCACCAAGGCCCCCACTATCGTTGGCTCAAATGTTTGATAAATTGATTTGAATGTCAATGTGAGGTCAGTACATATCCCCAGGACCAAAGTCAACCACCAGAACAATTATATTTTGGGGTGATAGCAGTTCATTGTCAAAAATCAGGTAAATATCAAAGGAATATTCGAGGTCTTCTGAGTTCCATGTAATTGAGAAGAAAATGAGACATTAGATCAAGAATAATAAGAATATTTTTAAGATATTAGTAATACAAAACAGAAAAGGAAAGGTATTTATTCTTTAAAGCAAAGGCACTTTTCAAATAATTGTAGGTATTCTAGACCTAGAAATTGGAATTAAAGGAGCTTCAATTTCTTCACTTATTAAATAATAATAATAATAATAACAGTAATAATACACATT